TAGGTACACATAATATACTAAATTGTATAATACAATGTTTTTGTGCCAAATCATTTTCACTTTTTATAACATATAGAACAAATACATATAAAAATCTAATTCAAAATATTGAATAATTATAATTTTAAATTTACTTTGAGAAGTAGAAGGAATGTTACTATTTGCTTGTTCGATATTTTCTACATTAGGCACATGCACTTCAGTTTCAGTCATACTAGAACCTGCAAGCACAAAAAAWTTCTAATTAAATATTATAAGAAATTTAAAAAATATTATTAGTTTTATTTACCTGATGATCTGGTAGATAAATGCCAAACTTGTTTATTTAGAGAGTTATTTACATTGGTGGTATAGTCTTTTGCATCAGAATCTCCACTGTCTTCCGAATCGAATGCCATATCATCCGTAATAGCATTCAACTCTTCTAGAATCTCATATTCTGATAACATCTAAGAAAAAATTGATAATTATTCGTAAATATTTTGTAAGTGGGTCATTTTTGGCCCCGAAAGTGTATATTTATCGAAAGAGTATGAAATGATGATTCAGAATGTACTTACTTCAAAATTTTTATTGAAGTTCGAGAGTATTTTTTTTAAGTTTAAAATCACAACCACATATTTGAAAATAATATTCAATTATTTTTATAAATTTATAACACAGAAAATACATTTCAAATGGATTGTAAGATAACACAAAAAAACGCGCTAAAATGTTATCTTTAAATTAATACCACCAAAGACTTTATAAGTTAAACTGTTTATTTATCAAAATTAAAGCAAATAACAATTTTGATAGGAAATTTATTAGAGGGAAAAAACGTGTATCGCGTTGGTGGGCAATGGGATGATAATTTCCCACTTTGATCGTTTTTGATTTATTTCTCTTATTTGAAATGTTGTCAAATACATGTAATTGATACTGTCGGATGTAGAAAAAAATAACGGTTTTTTTTCAAACAAGTGGGAAAAATATTACCTCTGACCACACGGTGCTAGAATTTTTTTTTCTTGGGTGGGAAATATATATCCCCTTGCCCTATCAGTTAATGTCGATTTAAAATTATTACTGCATCAGATCATTAAATTATTTTTGTCAGTTGCCATGGAAATTATGACAGGTTTCTCATTAATTTGGAATCTCAACACAATACAATTAATCTTTATTAGTCTTTATTAGTTATTCTTGATTATAGATTTCTTCAATAATAAACATTAAATTGTGTTTTATGTAAAATAGAATTTTCGTAAAGATTTCAATGTTTTTCTTTAATGAAATGTATAATATGTTTGAGATCACAACTATTCACAGCATTACTTAAAGATTATATACTTTATTATTTTTAGGTAGCTATTTGGACTTTGGAGTGAGAAATATTAATATTTACAATGATATTCAGTTTTTTTTTTTCAAGAAAAAAAATTTAAGCACAGTAATGTGATTCTAAAACGTTTTTTATACTCATTTAATTTTATAAATTTTGTTAATCGTTTATAATTATGTAGGTACACATTTCGGGCGCCCGGGAATTGGGCCACATTTTCGGAGCAATTGAATTGGCTCCCCAATACAGGTAGTCAATATTTTACCCTTACTAAGTACCTTTGAATTGGCTCCCAAGAATTTACTGTTGAATTAGCTCCCTACCGTTTTTTTTTTTAAAATGTATTGATTGCCAATATGTTAGTAATTTAAAGTACGTATAATTCGTAATTCGTTACACAAAATTATATTAAAAAATGTAAAAAAACAGAAAATATTTTACCAAA